TGGTAATGCGTGGGAAGGGGAGACGGAGACTGGACTTCGAAGCCTGCTAGGCTGTGGCCGTGGATGTAGAATTGATGGTGGTCTTTCTTCTGTTCGCTGCTGCTGCTGCTGCTGAGGGATTGGAGTTTGTCGGATAGGAAAGTGAAGAAGGGGTAGTAGTAGGAGATAAGACCTGGGTTTCCGGATATAAAATAGATTATAATTGGAGCTGGGGGTGGATTGGTAGATAGGGTTGGTCGTGGCGGCGAGGTAGTGTGGAAGAAGCTGTCGGGGGTGACATGGGGTTGCATTGAAGGGGCCATGGCCTGTCTGCACGATGCGGGGCGTAGTCTACTCTGTAGTTACTTACGATTAGGGAGAATAGTTGTAAGTAGATATTGAGTTGGCCGATCCAGGGTGAAAGAAAAGAGAGTTTCCCGGGATAAAACACCCGGTGGATTCGGGACCCGCATGCCGATCATTCGTTCTATCCAGACGCACGGACAGTATCGCTACCCTACAAATGCTCAGCTATCTACAGTGGGCTGATCAGTTCGAATGTTCACATCGAAGAGATCGGGTCAGATTAGACTGCGGCAACATAGGTATGTGCAAGTCGGTTTCCTCGAGAATGCATTTCAGTGTCCTCCAGCTAGATTTTGCATCTATCCAGGGCTCCTCGAACCACAAGGCTGAAGGAGACAACGGTGTGCTCGCGCCATTTCACGATCATCAATCATCCCGAATACCAAGCTCAACCGATCGCTATCACGCGCGAAATAACAGTGTCCATGTAAAACGAGATCCCTAGTGGCCCTTGAATGTACGGCTGAAAGCGCCCCATCATATGCGTAAGAACCGCAACAGCACCGGAAACTCCGGGACAAGCGAGCAGTACAAGAAAAATAAAAAAGGTGGCAGAGAATGCGAGTAGATGTACATCGTGCCCATCAGATAAATGGGCAAAGGTATAATCGGAACAGAAAAGATCTCGCCGCAGAGCTGAGTCCGTAATACATGATATCTAAAAGGAAAGATGAAAACAGCAAGGATGCAGAAGGAACAGCACAACGAGATCGATCGTACATCAAAATACGTCCGGCTCACAGGGGTAGGGAAAAGAAAAACACATCACTTCATCTGGTATCTAGGAGGCTGTCGTAAAAACAAGCAAGGAAAGATCCTGTTACTCTGACGAAACGCGAACGATGCTTGCAGCAAATGTAAAAGACGGTTGCTCGACACAAGAGCCATCAAGGCATCAAACAAAGACGTGGTGGGTTCCAGTTAGCCACCATCACCGCTGTGGTTGTCATCTCGATTTTCTTTCTCGTTGTTCGCATGGTCAGCTCCAGAATCGGTCGAACCTGGGTCAGACGCCTTGATCGTGGCCGAGCTAAGGTTGATTGCGATTCTCTTCGGTGGTGCACTGCTGTTGAGGGTCCCCAGCGCTGCCCCCTTGTCGTTGGCGGAAAGCGAGCCAATCGACACACTTCGCTTCCTCCGCACCATTCCGGCAGTGCCAGGGCCGGCGCTGGTGGAACTTCTTCGTTTAGGCCCAGCTGTGAGCTTCATCAGCTCATCATCGTCTTCCTCTTCGCGCCGACGCTTTTCCGACAACCGTTCGGGTGGCGTTTGAGGCGTTGAGATCGGAGTGGACGGCGAGTCTGCGGGTGAACCGGCAGCAGCATCGTGATCCGGGCCATCTTGCTGCGGTTGTTCCTGGTTCTGTGGCGCTTGTTCATCGCTGGGTTCTGGCTTAGTGTCCATCGCATCGTCCTCGTCGTCATCATCCGGGTAATCGACGAGCGGTTTGACGATGGGCGACGCAGCGCCATTCTGCATTCGGGCAGCATCTGATGCGGTCTGCCTACTCTCCTGCTGCCACTGATATCCATGGTTAGCCGATTCCGAAGGGGACCATGCTGGACCAAGCGCCTTACCTCTTCATCATCAGAGGTGTTGAAATACTCCTCCTCGGCAGCATCCATCTCCCCGACACCTTGCCAACGCTGGCCGCCGGCTTGCATCCTTCGTGAAGGCATCGCCTCCTCGTGCGACATGAGGGATGACTCCGGCTCAGCACCGTAGCCCTGCATTTGCTCGTAGCGTAGAATCAAGCTCTGGAATGTGTCCACGTAAGTGATGTTTCTGATTTTTTCGCCATACTTCTCCACTACGTGGAGAACAAACGGCTTCATGTTCTCGCATCGGATCGCTTCGAATAATTCGAGACAGGCCGAGTTCAGGAGGTTATCACGGGGCATAGTCTCATAAACAATGTCCAGAATGAGCCCGAAGATGTTGTTATGGGTCATCAGAGCCTGGTAGAAAGTGTCTTGAAGACTAGTCAAAGCACGGAAAAATCTCAACGCAGCTGAGAACACGGTACTGTTAGAGCATTTCCCCTGATGATGATATGGTTACAGAGACAACTTACTCAGCTTAAGATGCTTGTGGGGCACCGTGAGTAATTGAGCGATTCGAGGGGCAAGGGATTCGTTTTGAATGACATTCCGACTCCGGTATAGGTGTTGGCGGACAAAGAATGTTAAGATATCAACGAGATGGGAGTACAGCGCCACTTCCTGGAAGCTCAAGTTCCGAACTAAAGAGATTACAAGGCAGTTAGTCATCGTCAGATACCTGGGTGAATCTTCTGTGAGAACATACGGTGGTCATCATGTTCGAGTCGTTTCAGGGGCCAGAATAGCCGCCTCGCGGATTCATCAAAATGGTTCTGAACAAAGGCATCAGAGAGGATATTCGGACGCGGTTTGTTGTAATTCTCAGGCCCCGCCCGGCCCATGGTATCTTGCAGAGGAATTTGGGGATCCAGTAGAACTTTGACGGCATCTGCGAGTTGGTTCTTGACCCCCAGGTCGGACTCGGTATGCAGCAAGTCAATCAACGTGTCGGTCAAGGGGGTCTTCTTCTCGTTGACAGCTTTCAGCATATAGCCACGCATCATCACGGGGTCATGATCAAGAAGCGCCACTAGGATATCGATTCCAGTCGTACGCAGAGCCGGCTTGGGGTGTTTGATGGCGAAAGCAATGACGGCAAACAGCCCATGGTTTATAAAGTTCGCAAAGAGATTGGCACGCGCCGGCGCTTGCAAATTCTTCGCGATGACAGCGCATTGGTGGAGAAACTGGACTGCGTCCTCCTTTCGTTTGGTGTCCGCGCTTCTTGGGTCGAAAACCGAGAATAATTCCTTCAAAAAGGGTCCATTTGCCTGGATGTGGTTGACGATTTCGACCTGATTGAAGAAGATCAAGGAGTTGAGAACCGAGAAAGTCGGGTCATCTAGAATGCGAGCCAAGACCACATCCTTGAGATACTGCAGGCGCCATGTGTAGCTGATTTTGCGGCGGATTAAGGCATCCTTGATAGGTACAACTTCCTTGTAGCGCGACTTGTCTGCGAGGTATTGCCGGTGGTTCGCTTTGTGGGTTGGAAACTCAGGGTCGTCTGAAATCCGTCAGCAACACGGGTCAGTCCGGAGGTTACCAGTATACGCACATTCCAATGCTCCAACCACGCCAAGGATGATAGGATCGGTAACTACTGTCTCGATGATGGTGTTGTCGTTGAGAAGGATGAGCGACTTCATGATATTGCACAGGCGATGTAGATCGGAGAGACTTTCGAGATCCTCGGCCATCGTGACTAACGGGATCAGCTTGGGGATGTACTCTTCTCGGATGACGAATTTCGATAGCGCATCACGTCCGGCCTGGGTAATGCTAGCGGCCCTCATAACATGATCGATTTCGGGCAGGTTTCCGAGCTCGGGTGGAGGCAGCATGATTGACTGGTAGCTTTCGATCTCGTCCGACAGAGCATCTTCTAGAGCACCAGACGTGAAATTGGTCAGCAATGGCAACCGGACAAGCGATGTAAGCGAGTAATAGGAAGAGACGAACCTCCTGGCGCCAGGTTCAATAGATGCTGCTGTACGCTAGTCACGAAGTTCCTATATCGCCGTCAGCGATGAACTGGATTCATTGCCGCAAAGCTCCTTGATGGCATGTGCCAGTCTTACCAGATCACAGCGCACCCTTCCGCTTCCTGGAAACTCAGCGCCATATCCGTCCCATTTGGTTCTGTCCATACTATCAATGTTTCTAGATCACGTCGCGGAAATGTCAGCTCGCATTCTGCGATCTCGCTCGCTGCGTGCGATGCAGCAAGAGGCGTAAGGGGCAGCGGACCTTGTTGTTTCTGATAGCCGTCATCCTTGGAGATCTTTGTCTCCAGAAGCACACGATTAGGCTCATCCTCCGACTCGACGAATATCCGCGGCTCATCCTGGGAACAGAGACGGGAGTGTTAGCGACAGTCAGCTGGATTGAGGCACGCGCGCCTGAGAGCCGCAATGTTTGCGCCCGAGGAGCGGCGACGGAGATCGCGCTGCGGCCAGACACATGGGCGGCGACCGGGACTCACATCGAGGATCTGCCCTGTACAAAAACCCGTCCCGCGATCAAACCAGTCATTATCTTTGAGTTCGTAAACTTTCACCCGCTTGCGATCGCTGGGTGGTTGCACCTCCAACGCCATGGTCCGGCAGTATGGCGAGGTGGCGTCTCGTCACTCCGGGACAACTCAGGAACGAGTGTGCACCGGCGCGAGGAGAGCCCCGAGAAGGCGGAATGATAAGACGGACCGCGGCTTGGTCCAGATTGGATGAGGGAGGAGGGGGGGAAAAGGTTAGGTTGGTTTGGTTTGGTTTGGTTTCGGGGGCGGAAAGGGAAGGAAAGTGGGGAACAAAGGGAAAGGGTTAAAATTAAAAAAAGGAATAGAAGAAGGGAGGAAGAAGAAGAAATGGAAGGGAAGGGTGGAGGTAGAGGGGGGTGGGTTGTTGTTTGGAAGTTTGAAAGTTCGGAAGTTTGGTCGGAGGGAAGGGGAAGAATGATGTAAAAGACTTGCGCGAAGAGCTTAAGTCAAAGATGACGAAGAGGCCCTGCTTTAGGAGGGGGAAAGAGGTTGAAAGAGATGGAAAAGAACGGGGGAACTGAACTGAGAATGGATGGGGCAAGGGTAAGAATAATAATAATAATGAAAAATAAGTTCGGGTGATGTTGGGTGTGCGAGGGAAAGCACAATGGATGGATGGATGTGCTTTTTGGCTGCTTTTGCTCTTGCTTCTGCTCTGCTCTGGCGCTGCTTTTGCGGATGAGAATGATGGATGATGATCCTGAACTTTGGGGTCGGGACCACCTGACGGCCTCGGCTGTGGTTGGCGCTGCTGTCTCTATTCTATCTTCTTTGGCACTTTGTCTGTCTCTTATCCGTTCTTTGCGTTTGGTGCCGACGCGCTACAAGATTCACCCAGCACACGCGACCGGAGATTAGGAAGCCACTGGGAGGAAGGATTTGGTTGTTGCTTGCTTTGGACGCCGGGGACACCAGCCAGCAGCGCTTTCGGAGGAATCGGACTTGTTTGGGACGATATTCTTGCGAACCAGCTGGAAAGCTAGACGTGTGGACCTGATGTGACTCGGCAAAGCAATGCGATCATATCATTCAAAAGTTGTTCATGATAGTTAGTCACAGCCACTACTACTAACTTATAGTTTATAGTAGTTAAAGATGTGCTGAAGAAAGGAGACGAGCCGAAGACGCGCGAGACGGGGATCTGCAGGGAAGCGACCGAAGGGAACCAGCGTCAACCAGGGGGGTCATCTGGTTACAAATGACGTGCACCCGCCGTATACATATCTGGGGAGTATCTGCGGAGTACTCACTATACTACTATTACTAGAGGATTTTTAAATAGCCTTTCTATCTGTCAGGTAAAGTTGGTTGGATTCCAGAAAGCTTAACAAATCTCAGAATGTTTCAGGGGTTGTTAAATGTCAGGTCCACTCTGTCTGACAATTTTGTACCCTACAAAGGGCTAATCTAATACCAATTTAATCCATGGACAATTACTGTACTCAGTGTAGATACAAATCAGCCTATACACCGAGGGTCTCAACTCTCAAGTGATCCTCAGTAGCCATCGTTGTCATACCTCCCCCGGCCATCGGAGCATGGAGTTTCTAATTATAATCCTTTTCCTCCCGAACCAAACAAAGTCTGGCCCAGTCGGTCTCCAGTCTCCACGTCTCTTGTCTTTTTGCCTGGGCCCGTCCCACCGCCGATTGTAACTATGTAAAATCTCCATGTCTGGACAATAACTAATGGGCATCACCGTTTTGATGGAACATCACAATGCTTTTGTTCGTCTCCTCCCACAACCCGCATAGTAGAATTCCTCAGCAACGTTTATGAGACCTCTCTCCGATATCAGAGTTCATGGAAACTAGTAATAATCACGGAACGTCAGAGCATCTCCATGTTGGGCATCGACCGAACCACTTCCAATCCTGCCTGATCTGTGCAACGACGCGCTCGTCACCTGCTTTGCAGTACCCGCTATTCCTGGGCGACAGCTAGTTATCGATCATGCCTCTGATTCAGCAAAAAAAAATTATGATGATAGTATGTCCCTAGTTCCTACTATCTCGAGAATTCTATGTGATGGCTAAGCATCGAGTCGTCACGCATTAAGGGATGAGCACATCACTTCACACAGTAGCTAATACCTAGATGTCTGCTTGAAATCTGCCGTGTTTGTTTGTGCACAGCTTCTCTCAGGTTCTCCTCCATCCTCTTCCACTAGCTCTTCTGTAAGTCTAGTAGAACGCACGTATCTTACAATACTCTATCCGTTTTGCAGCACTTTGTATGCATCGGCCATGCAAGAAGTGTATCGAAATGCTTCATTGGGAGAGATATTATAGTCCATGACCCATTGACCGCTATTTGTGGGTTTTCTACACTTGCTATGTGTAACGCTACTTTTTCTGTGGCGTCAGATGGGTTTAAGGCAATTGGTGGTTGTCCATGCAATTACTTCTCCTATGCTTGTACTTCGATCGGAATCATGATTGTATACCCTTCATAGAGTCGTTTCGAACGAAATGCTTTAAGTAGTCAATACCTACATGAAGATGATTTTGCCAATAGTAGCGCTCGCAATGATGATGCGCATAAATGACTAGGATATCGCAATGCAAGCTGTCAAAGTTGAAACTGCAATGGAACGAAATGGTCGGAGGGTCTCCACTTGGCTTTGATTCGAGCCCACATCGCGGATTTAGTGCCTGCTTCAAGCTCGAGGGCTGCCCAGAATGGCCCAGGATCTGAAGCACCAGCATCCGGGGGAGCTTTGATGCGCAGCAGCTGCCATTCTTGCTGGGGTGTGACTGAAAGGGGCACTTTTCTAGAAGCTGCTTCCGCTTCTTTCCTTTTTAGGACATGTATCACCTGATCTATTTCCTCTTTCAGTCAAATTGTGCCTTCACCAGGCGATAACTTCTAACCTCGTTTTCAAAGTGTATATCCCTGGCTCTCAGTCTACTATGCATATCGATTCGCGAATGCCTTGCTATGAATTCCATTGCGCCTTCCTAGTTATTGTCTCTGCCCGGACTATCTTGCAGACCACCAAGTACTTTAAGACATTAGGTGCTTATGGCATTGAGGTGAGCTGTCTATCTTTGGACCACTGAATCCAACGCTTCGATTATCGAATACCGAGCCATCTGTGACCAGTCTTGGCTCGCTCTCACTAGTATTACAAATTCACAGGGTATAGATAGCTGCAGCAGAGACCTGGCATATCATACTTCAAATGGGATAGCGGCGAGATCCGATCCACGGTTGTCTTACCTAAGGAATGTTCCCCGCCTTGACCTCGGCTTTACCCTTGACATTGGATCGATCTACTTCCAGCTTCAGCAGTATCTTCTACCTGGCACCTATATCTCGATACCTCTTCGCTTCTCTCGGCTTGTCACCGGAGGCCATCGCCATAGATGAGCGACTTTTGGGGGCTTTGCGCTCGTCTTGGTCACAAAGTCACCCGGTGGTTCTAGTAATCACGTCGGTCTCAAGTTTTGTCCGGCTCAAAAACTCAAATTTTTTGTATCTCTTATCAGAGATGTCCGATACCAGGGCTGCTCGGCTTGCCGCTCAGAGATCCTCTCCACCACCCGCTAATTACATACATGTAGCTCATTCCCCCGAGCAGGTTGCTCCAATATTAGAGGCTCCTCAGGGCGCCGACTACCTACCAGAAGTGACTGCCACGCATGTTGAGAAAGAAGACAATGTCCTGGCTTACCTTGCGACGAAAGAGTTCTACATTACCCTTTTTCTTGGGTAAGTGCTACAGTTGGAGTTGCTTGGAGCACCAAGGTGAGTTCGATGGTTAACTTGTCACACAGACAGGTTCTGGCTATCACCAACACTGCCTGTAGCACGTTCAGTACACTACTAGTCAGCGAGGGAACCTCAATTCCGGCTTTTCAGACATTCTTCAACTACTTTCTACTCAACGCTATCTTTACCCCATATACCATATACCGTTATGGTCTGAATGGCTGGACACGAGTGGTGCTCCAGCACGGTTGGAAATGTAAGTCTTGCTGATACGTAAATACCCGACACTTCCCCCAAGGTCTCTCTAATTGCGGGCTTGAATAGATATCTTTTTGGCCTTCTGCGACGTGGAAGGTAACTATTTCATTGTGCTGGCCTATCGCTATACGACTATGCTGAGCGCCCAGTTGATAAATTTCTGGGCTATTGCGGTCGTGGTCATCGTGTCCTTTACGATCTTGCGCGTGCGTTATCATATCACTCAGGTGCTAGGTATCCTGATCTGTATTGGCGGTATGGGCGTCCTGATCGCTTCGGACCGCATCACTGGTGCCGATGAAGGAGGTTATTCGCGCGGGGACCTGATCAAGGGCGACCTCTTCGCGCTCCTGGGTGCGACATTCTACGGACTTGCCAACACGGGTGAGGAGTTTTTCGTCAGTACGGCTCCGGTGTACGAAGTCCTGGGTCAAATGGCCATGTACGGCATGGTCATCAATGGCATCCAGGCCGGCGTTTTCGACCGCAGCTCGTTTCAGAATGCGACCTGGAATAGCCAGGTTGGTATCTACTTGACAGGATATACGCTGTGTCTGGCTTCTTTCTATTGTATGGTACCGCTGCTGTTCCGGCTGTCATCGGCGGCATTTTTCAACATCTCAATGCTGACGATGAACTTCTGGGGTGTTCTCATTGGGGTCGGGCTATTCCACTACACAATCCACTGGATGTACCCGATTGCTTTCGGCCTCATTATCCTCGGGCAGCTCATATACTACTTGGGGAGGCGCGTTCTGGGAGAGGCGCGCAAACCCTGGCTGGGACGGAATCAGGAACGTGGCGTGTCGGGACTGTTTACAGCACGCAGAAAGATCGAGACCGCTGCCGGCCGGAGTCGTAGCGACTCTATATCTACAACTTGTTCTGAGCGAGATCCTATGCTACCTGCCAGTGTGACAGACTAAGTTAGAAGAATTGGTAGACGACATGATGATGAAGAGCGCTTGCATACAATCATATTTAGACTACGACATTATATATACGAGGCGGAGTATCAGTGATTGGTATCAACACACACCTTCAATTTTAATTTAGTATTCTGACCATTTAACAATGACAACAGTCAGTAGAGTAGTACTATCAGACACAGTAAAGACCTGATGTAGCTAAAACGCTAGTAGTAAGTCGTGACACCCAATTCACCAAGTACTACTACTGTTCCCGATATCATCCCAACACCTTTTCACTACAACTGCACAACTTTCCTATTCCCATCCCCAAATACCTAGAAAATAACAACCACTAGATACATCAACAATCCCACAAACAATGATCAACATCTTACTCCCGCCCTTAACTCCTATATCCGTCGTCATCCACCCGTACCGACCAAGAATCTCCAACCCCGAAAATCTTCGGACTTCCCGAACAGCCTCCGAAGCAGCAACCAACTTGACCAAACTATATAAATTACTCGTAGTAACTACCACCACCACCAATCCAACCCAATCATTCACTACAAACCTCATACTACAACCAACTTCCTACTACTTACTACCCACCCACCTCAATAAACATGTCTACCGTGACACCAACACCAACACCCATAACCTTCCCCTCCGCCACACACACCCTCTCCGCGCACCTCTACCACCACCCCCCAACCACGCCCTCCACCCTCACCCCCGCCATAATCCTCTCACACCCCATGACCGGCGTGAAGGAACAAACCACGACTCTCTACGCCACCCACCTCCACGCCGCCGGCTTCACAACCCTCACCTTCGACGCTGCATACCAAGGCTCCAGCACCGGCCACCCCCGGGGCCTCGAAGACCCCTTCCAGCGCGTCGAGGACATCAAGTCCGCTGTGACGTATCTCTCCACCTCTGTTCCGGGGGTAGATACCTCGCGGATCGGCGTGCTGGGCATCTGCGCGTCCGGCGGGTACGCCTGTTTCGCTGCGGCGGGTGACTTGCGGATTAGGGCTGTGGCGACGGTGTCGGCGGCTTGTGTGGGGGGGATGTGTAGGTGTGGGGGGGTGGGAAAGGACTTGGAGGAGAATGGGGAGGTGATTGCGATGGCTTTGGAGGGGGCGAGGGGGGATAGGAATCGCGTTCATGGGGAGGGGGATGGAGAGGCGCCGAAGATGTTTGATGCGGAGAAGGTGTTGCAGGAAGGAGGAGAGAATGTGGACTCGTTCTTTAAAGCAGCGGCGGAGTATTATGGAACTAGCAGGGGGAAGCATGAACGGTCGACGCAACGAGTGCCCCTGCAGAGTTATGATCGGATGGTGGTGTATGACTCGTTTGCGTTCATGCGGTTGATTGCGCCGAGGCCGGTGTTGATGATTGCTGGGGAGGAGGCGGAGACGTTGCATTATAGTGAGGAGGCGGTGCGGTTGGCGAGGGAGCCCAAGGAGTTGTTTGTTGTGCCTGGGATGGGACATTTTGATTTGTATGATCGGTTGGAGGTGTCGGGGCCGAAGCTGGTGAGGTTTTTTAGGGAGGCTTTGGCTTGATACCTAGTGCTGTGCTGTGCTGGAGGATACGGATGGAAGAGAGATGATAGGAAATGGCAAATAGTATATGACCATTGATAAAAACATGAGATCAGACTCCGTTAACTCTTTGATGTTTTGCCTGCATCCCCGAATGTTCCTTTTTTTGCCAATGTCCCCAAAACACATGAAGCGCAGTAAGTCACAAAATCAATCAACCTTTTCCATACCCAAACTAAAAGCCCAGTTGCTGAACTAAAACCCGCATGTTTCGGCCGAACTCGCAACCAGACCCGAATGATGATAGATAACACCTGAACCCCCCGTGAATGAGTGGGAAACAAGAGCCCGAGACGTACACTCCTCCCTGAAGGTAAATACAAACCCCAACCTGGCAGGTCGTGGCTGGTCATGACGAAAGAAAAAAAAGTAGAGTGGAAAGGATGCAGACCAATGGAAAATCAAACAAACAAGTAAACCAAAATCACAGCGTCAACCCATATGCAAGCACACAAAAGCACACCAAATGGGGAATACCGACTCCAGAAACCAACAGGCCAACCAAGTCCCCTAGTCAGTAAACCAGCCATGTACCAAATTAACAGTCCACATGTGACGGAGCGCTAGACAAAATCAAAAGACGTACTCTTGCACCACCACCTCTTCCGAATATGTACCATGCTCTTTTCCCAATAGTATCAAAACGAAACCCCTCTCTTTAAAACGCCACTGCACAGAAGCGAACACATGCCGAACAAATAATGCGTGATGTTAATTATCCGCCCACTCTTCAACCCCAGACCGATGCCTGAACTCCGAGACCGTTCTTGGAACCCCAGACACCGCTGCCGTTGCCCCAGCCAAGGCCGACTCCACCAGATGTATCCTTGACACCAGCGGTCGCAGCCGCAGCACTGGGTGCGGTCGACACGGAGGGAACAGACCGATCCGAGGCGGAATCACCCGGAGTGAAACCGAAGCCCAGAGGAGAAGGCAGGGGAGTCGTGGAGCGCTTGTTCAGCGCTGGGTTGGAGACCTGTCCCGCATGAGGCTGGGGCAGAGGACGGGTTCCGATGGGGCCAACAGAGCCAATCGGCCCAGCCATGGACTTGGAAGGAGCTTGTCTCGAGGAAGGAGAATCAGCACCGCCGGGAGACGAAGTCGAGGTTACAGGCTGGTCGGCACCGTCGTATTTGCCAAAAACAGGGTTGATTGCAGAGCTGGGGGAGGAGGTGCTGTTGGCACGAGAAGGCGACTGCAGGGAGGCAGCGCCGGCGGCAGCCTGACTGATACTGTCCGCGCCACCCTGAACGGGGGTTTGTGCGAGACCGAACGGATCAACGTTGCGGGGAGAGGCACCACGGACGCCGGTCGAGGAAGTCGGCGTGCCACCTGCCTGGCTTTCGGAGCGTGTACCGTCGTCGGCGAGACCGGCGGGAGGGAAGAAGGCAGGGCTGTCGTTGCCGTATAGAGCCCTATGCTGACGAGCGAGTAGTTCCCGGCGGCTTTCTTCGCTCATGGCGGCCGGGCTGAGGGAGCGATCGGACTTGTTTCCAGACATTTCGGCAAGCAGGCCTTTGAGAAGAAGAAAAGAATTAAAACCATGTTCGAAGCGGGAGCCATGTCCCAACGTAATATACAAGCCAACAAATACACATGGGCCAAGAAGTATGTATGGGGAATATTGGGGAAGAAAGATGCAGGTGTAGAAAAAGGCTCCAAAGACAGATGCTACCACGTACTTCGGTTGTACTGTTGCTCCTGGTGATAGTTGCGGAGCTCCCTCTCACGCTGTGCTGCCATCCGACGCTTCGCTTGCATCATTTGCTCTACTTCATTGGGGCGACCCTGGAAACGCTGAGAGGCATAGAAGCCCTGGACATTGGGACTGGGATGCATCCGGGAATCGAACTCGCTGATCGAGTGATGACGCTGGCTCATTGAGTTGACCATGCGGGGATCTGCTACTGACGTTTAGAACGTGTCGAATGTAATCAAGTGGTCTCGCAATATCATACCATAGTCGGGGTAGGGACGGCCCATCATCATGGGCATAGAATCCCTCCGGGGTGCAGCCCACAGCTTTCCACTCTTGACGAGGTTATCAATAGCACGGTCGACCTCTGATGGATGTTAGCATCCAACCCAGTCTTTGTTTTTACGTCTGTCACAGAACGGAGGAGGCCACGAATTCCGGCACGGCTAACAGTGTATATGCTTGCGCGCTACTGGACGGTCGTGGCACCAGAGAAGGCGAAATAATGCAGGGGACGGCTATTCGTACCATCAAACTGAGAAGAGAACGCTGGGATTTCGTCACGCTGGGAAACGGAACTCGATCCTGCAAAGAAAGTTGTCGTAAGTAATGAGAACAGCGATACACGCATTTGGAACCGGTTTGTTATCATCCATACCTGACCGCGATGGGGGAGCAGGTTGCTCCCAAGAGGCCTGGCGCGCGGCCGGTGCCTGCCAA